GGGCAGGGCAAAGGCAGCCCACCTTTGCCCTGCCCCCCAGCTCTTAGCTCCCCCCTGGGTTTCCGATCACTGTCAATGGCAGGGGGCTTCTTTCTGCTTTCCCTTTCGCCTCCCTGCATTGTGCCTACATATGCAAATTAACCACCATCTTTGTTGTCATTTAACTGCCATCTGAGTTAGCAGTTAATTTGCATATAGCCCTGATTAGCCAATGAAAAGGGTAGCGTCATACGCCAATTACCATTTTTCTCTTTTATTAGTGTAGATGCTAGGGAGACATCTGACAATTGTACAGCATGACCTATAACCTTCACAAATCCTCAGATTAGAGAACAGCACTACAGTTAATACTACTGCACATAAATGTGATCATTCTCAAATGGGGAACAAATCCAGAGGGAGATGCAGGTACTGGCAGTCTGCCAGACTCTGACTAAACAATTCATTCTTGTACAATAGTCTCCACACTTATGCCATTCACATATGTGCCCCATAATTAAAAACTGATCTGAGGGGTAATATTCAAATAGTTTAACACATGAACATTAATATTCATGCATAACAGTAACATAAAATTGTAATTTATGAATATAATTATATTACATAAATAATATAACTTAATAGAATATTATACAATATATAATAATGTAAATTCAATACAAAAATATAGGCCCTAACCGGTTTGGCTCAGTGTATAGAATATCGACCTGTGTACTGAAAGGTCCCAGGTTCGATTCCGGGCAAGGGCATGTACCTTGGTTGCAGGCACATCCCCAGTAGGAGGTGTGCAGGAGGCAGCTGATCAATGTTTCTCTCTGATCAATGTTTCTAACTCTCTATCCCTCTCCCTTCCTCTCTGTAAAAAATCAATAAAATGTATTTAAAAATATATATATAGCTTACTAAAATTGGGCTATAGTGAGGGTGACCCTATGTCCCACTCATCTGGGGCCGTTCCAGTTTAGGCCAGTTGAGAATAATACACTCTCATGAGTGTCCCAGTTTGGATGATAAAGTATATCATCACCCTAGCTATAGTTAGAGCTCTGCCAACTCAATCTTTCCTCCTGCAAGTTCAAAATGCAAAAACAATTTGAAACTAAACCATAGTGAGGGCCAATTCCATAATTTTTTTTTATTACAAACTGTAGTAAATACTGAGATCTTTGATTCTGGAAGAATAGCTATATACTCTTAGGGATGTCTATCCTAAGTTTCATGTATTTCCTGCTGTAACTATGAACCAGAAAGCTCATATTCTTTCTAGATTCAAAACATGATTTTAAAGTAATCTTTAAAATACTCATAGGTTTAAGAGCAAAATTTTTATGAGAACAATGTAGAGAAACCAGAATCACCTCAAAGATCTTTACTCTGTCAGTTATTTGATACCATTAAATCAGGGGTCCTCAAACTTTTTAAACAGGGGCCAGTTCACTGTCCCTCAGACCGTTGGAGGGCCAGACTATAGTTTAAAAAAAAAAACTATGAACAAATTCCTATGCACACTGCACATATCTTATTTTGAAGTAAAAAAACAAAACGGGAACAAATACAGTATTTGTATTTGCATGTGGCCCGTGGGCCGTAGTTTGAGGACCCCTGCATTAAATACTAAATTTTCTTCCTTAACCTCCTGGTATTTAAAAATATGTATAAGAATATGTGAGAATTGGTTTGCCAGACTCAAACATTTCCAGTGTAAAATATCTCAGAGTAACAATTTTGTGTAAGCATTTCAAGAGCTACATTTCAAACCCTATATAAAATGACTGAATATATTACACTGTATTATGATGACATTAACTTTTAGCATCATATGATGAAGCTTTGATATAGTTACCATGGTAACTTCTGAAAACTCAAAACACAGATATTTCATTGATACACTTTTTGCCACTGACCAAAATAAAATTGGGAAAAATACCTTTTAAAACACCTCTGAAGTTAACCAAATAAATGACAAACTACAGGTTAAACTAATTTTCAATATCAAGACTGAAACCAAATACTATACCTGTTATGTGATAGACAGAATTGAAGCCAATTCCAAATCTTCCAACCTTCAAAGGGTCATCCTTCTTCCTGCTTCTTGCAATTTCTTGAATACCATGCCAGTCCTCTGGGGTGAAAACTGCATTGTTGTATACATAGAGAGCTGACCCTGAATGTTAAAATGCACATGCACATATTCAGAAAGCACACTAAGGTATTCAGCTCTTTTAAGAACTTCCTCCACATGAAGTTGCTTATTTGATGAGAAGATGAAAAGAAGTGAATGGAATGACTGAATTCTGCATTATAATGTCAACTGTTTTCATAATAAAAATAAAGAACAAATTAATGGTGAAAATTACCAGCAGAAGGAATATAGCACTGTTGGCCAAAAATTCAAAAAGGAAAAATTAGCCCAGCTGGCATGGCTCAGTGGTTGAGCATCAACCTATGAACCAGGAAGTTATGGTTGAATTCCCAGTCAGGGCATATGCCCAGGTTGTGGGCTCGATCGCCAGTGTCGGGTGTGCAGGAGGCAGACAGCGTATCGATGATTCTCTCTCATCATTGATGTTTCTATCTCTCTCTCCCTCTCTCTTCTTCACTGAAATCAATAAAAATATTTTTAAAGGGAAAATTAAGGGTGTTATGGTACTTAATCAAAATACAGGGCAAACAAGGAAATTAATCACTTTGTAAAATATGTTTTTCAATAGCATATTAATTTTTTTTTGGAAATGAGATTATTTGTAAATATACTAAGGAGACTTTCTAGCTGAAGAAACCTTATTATTATACTAGAGGCCCAGTGCGCAAATTCGTGCACAGGTAGGGTCTGTTGGGGTGGCCTGCAGGGATTGGGCCGAAACTGGCAGTCCAACGACGCCTGCCACTCCCGCTCATACAGGCCCTGCTGTGCTGCCATGGGCTCGCGCCCAGTCAGTCCCAATAGGGAGAGGCTTGCGTCGCCATAGTAGCACTTGCCAGCTGTGAGCCCTGTGTCTGGTGCCTGTCCGAGGATGCGATCGGCCCTCTGGGTGGGTGATAGGATGCCTTTGCCAGCTCGGGATCCAGATCTGTCCCGCTGACGTTTGTGCCGGTTGTCAGGAGCTAGCTGGCAGCTGCTTTTATATCATTTCTTTCTTGCAGAGCATCTAGTGAGGGGAAGTGGCCATGGTGCCCGAGGCCGACTTCCAGGAGGCCAGTGGCACTTTTGGGATCATGCCAGTGGCACCATTCCATTGGTGCCTGGCCCGTTCTCCAGAGATGGGACCTACAGGACTACTGAGGGAGTGAGTGGCTGCTGTCGGGCTGGTGAGCTGCCGGGACTGGTCAGTCAGCTGAACAGTGCTCCCACTGTGGGAGTGCACAGACCACCAGGGGGAAGCTCCGGCGTTGAGCGTCTGCCCCCTGGTGGTCAGTGCATGTCACAGTGACCGGTCAACCAGCAGTTCAGTCATTTGGTTGTTTAGGCTTTTATATATATAGATTGTTTCAAAAAGTGAACAATAATACAATAATCACTTTGTAAGTATTTGGTTTTGGCAGCTTCTGTATTTTTCTATATGAGGCACTACTTATATAATTTAAAAGTCATTAAAGTGAGACATTTTTAAGTAAGCACATCAGGAGAATATCACCATCTCTAAAGTAGCTCCTTTAAAAAGTTGTAATTATAATTCTACACAAAATATTTTTAGAACTCTACTTTTTGAGATTTATTTTCAGAATCTCTAATATTCTTTGAATATATTCAACTATAGTAACTCATCATACTTTAAAATAATGAACATTTTTCTTTGAAAATATTACTGAAGTATAACATACATTGGGCAGGAAAAGTAGGTTTACAATTATGAGTATGTAAAACACAGAGTTAATTCTTATATTATTATTTATTAACTACTGTATTATTTCCTATAAAAACTATAAACCTACTTTTGCCTGACCCTGTACATACAATAAAGTACCAAGTTTTAAGTGTACAGCTTGATGTATTCTTACAAAGTGAGTAAACCTGTGTAACATCCATCCAAATTAAGTACAGAGAACATCCCAGCATCCCAGAAGCTCTTCTCATGTGATTATAAAATCAAGCACACATATGCGGATGTGGGCTAAACATAGTTGTTTTACAAAAATGATGTGACTGCTATTTATAAAACAGTCAAAGTAGGAATATGAAAATAGCCAAGACTGCTGAGGCTTTTTTTGAGAAGGACAAAGAAAGAACACAGTGGTTGAAGTGGATTCTAGAGCCAGGTAAGTTTGAATATCAGGCCCAGTCTATGTTATCACTTTAGATAAAATTAAAGCCATTAAGGCTCAGTTTCCTCATATGTAAAATAAGGATGAGAACAGTATCTGCCCACAAAGTGCTGAGGATCAAATGAGACAAAACAGATGGGTTTTCTGACTGGAGGAGAAAATGGCGACCAGCAGGAAGGTAGGGAGGGAGAGAGTGTGAGAGCGCAAGGAAGTGATAGAAGAGTGTGTGGACGTTTGTGGTGTGTGTGTATGAGCTAGGGACAGTTAGATTCTGCAGGTCTTCTAGGGGGCTGCTAAACCGGGCAGTCTTAGGTGGCGTAGTCCCGCTCCCTGCGCGGACACTCCTGGGCGGCCAGCACAGGCACGGCAACCACGCCATCTTGAGAAACAGAGCTGCTTGAGACTAGGATCCTGGCCTCAGCACCACCCAGTCTGATCTCAGACACATACCAGGACCCTGCAGCCACTGGGGACAGAGACCTGTGACCATAGCTACAGACGTGCGGACACCAAAAGTTCAGAAATCCCTGCTGCAGATCCGTGACTAACAGAGCCCATCCCCCCTTCCCGCAGACTTAGGGGCAGCACCAGAGTAACTAACTGATAGACCCACCCCTTGCCAGGGCCTCAGCGATCCAGGAACTTTATCCTGGAAGTGCGCGAGCACCTTAGAACTGATCCCGCATAGGGCCGGGTTCAGGAGTCCTGGGCTGGGAGCAAACACTCGAACCCCAGGAACTGATCCTACGCGCACTGCCGGCTTCAGAGCCCTGGGCTGGGAGCAATTGCACGAACACCAGGAATTTGTCCCACATAGCACAGGCCCAGGACCCCGATTCTCTGGGTAGGAGGCAGCACCAAGCACCAGTGATTTGACTGTGTCTCTTATCACCTGCACCTGAGATCCTGATTCCCTGTGCATTCATACTAAGAGCCAGTGACTCCAATTCCTGGTGCAAGGGCACACAGGAACCCGGATTCTCAAGGCAAGGTCGCGCAAAGCAACGGAGACTCTGATACTGGATTCTTGGGGAACTCTGACTCCTGGCCCACGCTAGGGGGCTCTGGTTTTCAACATGCTTCAGGGGGGTCTCTGTTCCAGCACGGTGCAGGCAGGGTCCCTGATTCTAAGGGTGCGTACGAGGCCACATTGAGCACTGACAACACTGACTCTGAACGAGCCTGGTTCCCACCAAGCCAAAAC